TGAGTTATAGAGTATAAAGTAATGTACATAACTTGAAATGTTCATCGGCAACACGAAACAAATGCTACATTTCATGTCGTTTTATATCATTTAGGGTTCTAAGTGAATTTTTATCGACCAAAAATGCTATAGAACGCTTATGCGAAACTTTAATAAATTTCATAGTACGAACTTCGTAGGCGATGATAAAATACGTGCGATCGAGGATGGGGTCGCTAGCTAGTGTATCGAGTAGCTTGGAAAAGGAATTCGACGTGAAACCGTTTGAAGCTTAGTCATTTCGCGTAACTCTGAAAATGGGTCGACGAAGCCATGTTCGACAATTTTTATAGAATGATCGGGTTAAGTAGTGGCATGATGTTTTGGCTTAGTTTGATAGCCCTATGTACCCTCTAGAGTATAGGATAACTGGTTTTGTTTTTGATCATCGGGTTTGGGTTTTTGGGATGCTTTACAAAGCGTGTACGACATGGTTTTTACCTCCGGCGCGATCCACCGCCTCCCACTTACCGGTTCGCTCCTAGCCGCACCGCCGATCGCTTTGCTTTAGCTACGCCGCTGCGCTTGCGCCATTTGCTATGTCGCCATCGCCATGCCACATGCGGCACGCACGCCCGCACCATCGTATTGCATGGCCCCTACGCCTACTAGCTATGACTGCTACCCATGCCACCACGCTACCGCATGCGCTGCAGCTCGCCCCGCCAATGCCGCCATGCGTTACGCCCCGTCTTGCGCCGCCGAGCCGTCGCTTTACCAATGCCCTGGCGACACTGCCGAACTTGTTGATTGTAGTGTGGGCGGCCATGTCATGCCCGTCCACAAGCCTTGCCGTCCTCCCTGCTGCTCGCCATGCGCTGCACGCCATGCACAAACACGCCGCACATGCATGTTGCGCCTAGCAGGCCCAGTCTTTCCGCCACCGTCGTGTTGCGCTGCGGTCTAGTCACGCTACGCCCCGGCCACCGCTGCCATGCGGCCACTGCTATGGTTGACTTGCACCGCTGCACGTGTGAGCTTGCCTGCCTGCGTTTGCCAGCACGCCCATGTTTGATGCGACGCGACGCTGAAGCTCTCCTTGGCTGGCGCCATACACTGCGACGCAAAGGACCGAGCATCGTCGGCTTGCGCGTTAGGCCGTGCGGCCAGCCGTCTGGAGCACACCTCGCGGTTCCCCACAGCCCTATAGCCCGTGTGTGATTGATCGTAGTGTGGGCGGCCATGTCACGCCACGGCAGCCACGAGACAAGCCTCACCTGTCCTCCCCTATCTCCGTTGTCGCCATGGCTGATGGGCCTGCTCACTTCGATTCGTCGTGATGGTAGCACCGCAATCTAATTAGCCACGTCCTCGGCTCTGCTGGGTAGCTAGCCACCCAACCGACCCCACCTTGCTGCTAGTATCGCCACACAGTTCTCCAATTTGGAGCTACCGTCCGCCGGGTCAATAAGACCGCGTTGGCATGCACCGCTGGCAAGCCACCTTTCCAAAGAAGCTCGCGGCAATTCCTTGCACCACCAGCCTTGCCTCCACCTGCTTATCACCCTGCGCACCTCGGTCGAAGCGCTAGATGTAAATAATCACCGACAGCCATCCAATCACCTTCTACACCAACGACGCGTCGTGCCATCGCCATCGTCGTCAAAGCAGATACAATTCACCGTCTGCGTGCGCTAGCAGCTTCGCTTTCAGCTCGTTAGCAAGGCGATTTTAGATGAGCCATCTACGATCGAACCGCTGCCTCGGTGGGTTCCGTGGTGAGTACCTTGAGCTCACTAGCTACCCCTTTTGCCCTGGCTTTACTGTCACTCACCGGAACGCCACCGCCGTGGCTGTAGGGTATTCGCCAACGTGGTTCGACCTCACTGCAGTGTTCCGGCTCACGCTTCCTTCGCTCGGAGCTTCGTGTTCGCTCCTAGGTAAGTGTCGGCCCCATGGTTAGGGCGGGAAGGGGCGATGTGGCGGCGGCTCACTGCCGCCGCCGGCATCGCCCGTCGCGCTTATATGCAGCGTGGCGTGCTCGCATCACATTCTTTTCCGGTGCCCGGGGGTATCGCTATCGCTGAAGATAGAAAGTTCTAAGGGTGTAGCTGTAAGATAGTAGACTAGCAGAACAGTGCGCTTAGCGCTCGCATGATTACAAAATAGTCCGAGGGCGTTTTTGCATATTGACCGACACAGCGTGGTCCTCCCCTTGCGTGTGGCCGTCGTCGTCTTTGGCCTAACTGAGCTTGTGCATTGATCAGGCAATAAAAGAGTGTATGCGTGCTAATTAAATTAAGCTGCATTGCAGCTAGCGCTGCAAGGCTTTTTTAAACACAATGGCACGCTGTTCGACAGACGCATACGTCAAGACGTTACCGGGTTTGGGCCAAGCCGAAGCGCGTTAGGCCACGTGGTAGAATTGGGTTTTTCAAATTCCAGTGGAGTATGAATGTTTATTCAATAATAGTTTGAGCTGAACTTTGAAAAATAGTAGTAAATTCTATAGATGTCCAAAAATAGTGAAACCAAGTTTATTAGGTTCACAAAAATACCATCCACCATTAGTGTAGTTCGATTACAGTTAGCTGCGACAATGGTCGGTTCATAAATTCAAACTAGAGAGCTTAGTATTATGTAGATTAATAATTGTAGGAATTTTTGTGGTAAATTGGTGATAGCTATAGCTATAAAAATTTTACAGTAGGCTCACTGAATTATTATGTACTTGCTGTAAATTTTATAGCTCTAGAGTAAGTTGATAAATAGAGTAGCTATTATTCTTGTGTTATCATATATATATTAAGTCGGTATTAGGAGTAAGAATACATTTAGTTGTTGTGGTAATTTATGTGATGCTTCGTACTTGTTAGTAGAAACAGTAGGTAACTTAGTACCTTAGCCAGTAGCACTAGCTAGTAGTTAGACAGATGTACTTTTATTTTAAGAGTTGTTGTTGCTATATTACTAAGTATTGTATCATCATTTCATGCATGTAGATCATGAGTTGGTAGAGTTCGTGCCCGTCGACGAACAGGAGTACGAGGAAGTCGTTGAGGAGTACGAGGAGGAGATCCTCGTACAGGAGGGAGCCCCGAAGCCTTTTGGTGCTGACTTTGCTGACTCGTCGTCTGCCTAAGACAAGCCTCGGTGCATAATCCATATTTTATGATCACTGTATATATATATATATGATGTGCATTTAAGTTACAGGCATTCTATAAAAACTATGTGCATAAATATAACTTCCTATGAGTCCTACTAGCATAGGTCGAGTAGTTGCTATGCTCAGGATGTCGGTAGCATGAGTAACCTGCCGTTACTCATAAACAGGTGATAATTATGATCACTCATGATAAAATAATATAAGGGTAAATGGTAACCGGGCAGGGATGTGGGTTGGGTACTGGTGGGTGTAAGGGGTTGTGTCCTGCGGTAACATGGCATGGCTTGGTTACACTTTTTCCCTGTCCGTGTCGATTAAAGACCGGTCGTTGCAACAGACGCTAGGCAAGTCACAGATCTATTGTCTCGAGCACATACTTGGGTATGGATGCAAAGAAGACTTGTTGCTCTCTTGTCGTGGATCTGGCTCTTTCCGGACCGACTGATTGGAGGCGGAGATGGTGGAGGTCCTTGCACCGCACTGAGTTCGGGACTCAGGAGTGGGGGCTTGGAGTCCAAGTTTAAAAGGGGACCTAGACACCCAGGACAGGAGGGTGATGGGTTAGTCCTGCTTGTGCTAACTTGGAGTACAAGCGGGGCGTGTGTTTTCGGGGCACCCAGCTGGGGACATTGATTCGCGAATCACCGCCGAGTCGGTACGACTTGTCTTAACTCTAGCATCGTAGTAAGAACTGAAAGATGGATGATGATGAAATGGAACTAATTGCTCAACTCTTGCTTGAAAGTAGAACATGTGTTTATATAGACTGGATAGATAATAACTTAATACGGCTGATAATAATAACATAAATAAGAACTCACTATTAGTATTGCTTTCTGCCAAAAGAAACTAGTAAACCATAAAGTTTGTCATATTCTTTGGAGTCGGGAAATTATTTCCACTAGTCAGATAAGTCTTGCGAGTATATTGTGTACTCAGGGTTTATTTACCCCTGTTGCAGGTAATGCATGAGAAGTACCCTTGTGTGGAGGATTCTTCTGGTGGGCTCAGACGGATCCTCGTTTATTATCGCTAGATGTTTATTTCTAAATTCCGCTGTTTATTATTCCGCACTCTGACATTTGGTAATGTAATAATGTAATTTTTAAGAACTTCTGATGTATGAAATGGACAAGTATTATAACTCGTTCTCATTATTGGATCCTTGGGAAAAATATGGAGCTTTCGGGTTCTTTCTTGGGGTGTGCCCGATGGATACCGCTGTTGTAGCTTGCTTTCGGGATACTTAGTGTCTGAGTGAAAGACGAGCGCCTCCGATATATGTGCTATTTTATACGGTTCTACCACCGCAGACACCGCGTGGAGTCAGACGGTACGCGAGAGTGCCGGTGCTAGCGCGGATGTCCGGGCACTATCACTGCTGCTTCCCATTGGATAGAAACGTCTAGCTAAACAGTCGGATTGCACTTCGTAAATGAGAAATCGATTCTTTGTCAGAGCTTAATTTCAAACATAGTTTCAACCTTATCTGCTGACCTAGTATGTCTTATAGGTTATAGCTGTGTGTGTGCATGCGCTCGCGATGAATTTACATGCGTTATTATAGTCTGAGAGGCCGTGGATTGTGTTTCGAAAACAAAAAATCGACGGAGCCAACAAGGAATCCTAATACTGACAGACCGACGTTATGAGAACCCAAAATAGTTTTTTTTTTTTTGAGAAACAAGAACCCAAAATAGTTGCAGGCCTATATATGGAGTGGCCCTTCGGTGGCTGACAGCCCGACCGTGATTAGAGCTTGGACCAAGTCTGGGCCTTTGTATATACGAAGCCCAGCCCAGTACGAATTGAATTGACACCTCCATCACTACTCTCTTCCACTGCGCATCAGCGCCGCCCCCTCACACCGCCGGCCTGCGCCATGGCGTCCCCGTCCCCGTCCCCATCCTCTCCCACTGCCCGCCGCCGCAGGCACACCATCTACCACGGCCACCGCCGCGCCTCGCCGCACCGGCCCACAGTCCGCGGCGGCCTCTTCACCGACCTCCGCTTCCCCTCCCCAATACCCCGCCCCCCCCCTCCCCCTCCCCCTCCACCGCCACCGCCTTCCGCCTCCGCGACTGGGATCCACACTCGCCCTCTTCCCCGTCGTCCGCTCCCTCTCCGTCCTCTCCCTCCGCCTCCGCTTCCTCTTCCACATCCGCCTCCGCGCGCCGCCTCTCCCCGCTCGCGCGCTTCCTCCTCGACGCGCTCCGCCGCCACCAGCGCTGGGGCCCGCCCGTCGTCGCCGACCTCTCCAAGCTCCGCCGCGTCCCACCATCCCTCGTCGCCGAAGTCCTCACCGCGCGCCCGCCCCCGCCGCCGCCGCTCGCGCTCCCGTTCTTCCTCTGGGCCGGCCGCCAGAAGGGCTTCCGCCACTGCTTCCCGGCCTTCCACGCCCTCGCCTCGCTGCTCTCCGCCGCGGGCCTCCCAGCCGCGGCCGACCAGCTCCCCGACCTCATGCGCGCGCACGGCAAGCCCGTCTCCCACTCGCAGCTCACCCTCCTCGTCCGCCTCCACACCGCCGCGCGCCGCCCCCTCCGCGCTCTCCACGCGGTCCGCCGCTTCCGCCACGAGTTCGACGTCCAACCCCAGGTCCACGCGTGCAACCGCGTCCTTGGCGCACTGGCTGCTGCGGGCCACGTCGAGGACGCGCTCAAGCTGTTCGATGAAATGTCGGAGGGTGGCGTGCAGCCTATCCCAGTGACGTTTACCATCGTGGTTCGTGCACTAGCACACGCGGGGATGACTGATAGGCTTCTGGAAATGATTGGGAGGATGCGGAACGAGGTGTGCCGGCCTGATGTCTTTGTGTACACTGCGCTGGTGAAGACAATGGGGCGGAGGGGGCATATGGACGGCTGCATCAGGGTGTGGGAGCAAATGGAGAAGGATGGGGTGGAGCCAGACACAATGGCATATGCTACTATGGTTGGGGGGCTCTGCAAGGCTGGGATGGTGGAGGAAGCAGCAGAATTGTTCAAGGAGATGAGGAGAAAGGGGTTACTGGTGGACAGGTCGGTGTATGCATCGCTCATTGATGGGTATGTTGCTGCTGGGAGGGTTGGGGATGGGTGTAGGTTGTTGAAGGAGTTGGTTGATGCTGGCTACCGTGCTGACCTGGGGATATATAACACACTTATTAGTGGACTGTGTGGCATAGGTAGGGAGGATAAGGCCCATAAGTTATTTCAGATTGTTCTGCAGGAGGAGCTTGTGCCAAGTTCTGATACTGTTTCACCGTTGCTAGCTTGTTATGCCGAAAAGGATGAAATGGTTACATTTTTTGGATTGGTCAACAAACTGGCAGAGCTGGGTTTGCCTGTTATTGAAATGTTAGTAGATTTTATGAAGCTCTTTGCAGGAAAGGATGGTAGGGAATTGAAGGCTATGGAAGTGTTTGATGTGTTGAGACAAAAACAGTATTGTAGTGTCGGCATTTATAACATTCTTATTGAAAATCTGCTGAAGATCAAGGATAGGAAGAAATCACTTTTCCTGTTTGAAGAAATGCAAAATTCAGTTGATTTTAAACCAGATTCATGTACATATAGTCATATGATCCCATGTTTCGTGGATGAAGGAAATGTCGAAGAGGCCTGCTCATGCTACAACACCATGATGAAAGAAAATTGGATACCAAGTACGTCAGCCTACTGTGTTCTTGTGAAAGGGCTTTGCAAGATTGGGGAGATCAACACAGCCATATCACTTGTTAAAGATTGTCTTGGAAATGTAGAAAATGGGCCAACTGAATTTAAATACACCTTGACTATTCTGGAAGCTTGCAGATCAAAAAGCCCAGAGAAAGTCATTAATGTGGTGGATGAGATGATTGAAGTAGGTTGTTCAATGGAAGAAATTGTCTATTCTGCTATCATATATGGCTTCTGCAAGTATGCAAGTTCAACTGAGGCGAGACAGGTATTCACTATCATGAGAGATCGAAATATCTTATCAGAAGCCAATTTTATTGTCTACGAGGACATGCTGAACGAGCACTTGAAGAAGGCCACTGCAGACTTGGTGATATCTGGATTGAAGTTTTTTGACCTTGAATCAAAATTGAAATGGAGAAGCAGAATTGATTGAAGAAATATTTATGCAGTTACTCGGCACAATCTTCTCTTTACTTCTAATTTCAAATTTTAACCGTTGGATACACATGTATGTTATTAACTTAAAAGTGTTTGCAAGTGTTTATATGCTTCCCCAATGGAAAAGGCATGATCTTAAAGCAAACTTAAGTGTCAGCCTAATTGTTGTTATGGGTGCATTACTCACTTCAGCTTAGCTCATTACCTTTACCACATGAACTGTCAATTGGTTGCCATGTTCCTCACATCTGGTCTCTCCCTGTATTTGTGTGTGTCAGTGGGGGGGGGTATCCGTTTTGATTCAGTGGGCCACGGCACCATCGTACCAAGCTTGCCTTCCAGGCCACAGAACCTCTCAACCTTTGGCAGGACGACTCCGTTGCAGTTGTGACCCTGTTATCTATTCCATGTGACGAAGTGGCAATATTATTGGAGTCTGTTAGAAAAGATTCCAAACATAAAAGGCTTTGGTTGGAACGAGTTCACATTGAGGATTCTCATGGGCAATATCTATGGACTTAGCCGAAAGAGGGTGAATGTGTCAGGTATTGGTAGGGAAGTTTGCTGCGATGCAAGGTGCCAGCAATGACATCCCAGTTAACCTAGTTGAGACGTGGGGACTGGGGAGTTATCATGGAGGAGGAAGGCGAGACCGCAAAAGATTGTTAGGGCATTGATAGTTCTTGCCTCTGTATATGGACTTCTCATCGGACCTCGAGGGCCTGAAAACTTGTGACTAATCTGGCCTGAGGAGCAATTAGGCATTTTAAGGGTGCTTTGGGGTCCTATTTTTCTCTCTCCAGGATATTTGTCTTCAGTTCTTTTATTTTTGTGAAATAATATGAATATATGATACATCATGTGACTTTAATGTTGCACTGTTTACGTGGTAGAACCACTCAACTGCTTGTCTAGTCTCTTTATGGAAATTCATAAACCTGCTTATACCAGAATTCTTTGCAAGGAGCATGATATGGCTGACTATAGTTGATGTCTGTAGATTTATTTGCTCCTAGTTATGAGCTATTTGTATTTCATTCATAACATTTTTCTCAAGCTGATCTTCGTGATATAATCCCTTGAGTGTTTATAGCTTTTTTTTTTTTGGCTTAAGCACTTTTGTCAGATATACTGCTATGAATTGTTTATACTGTTATTTGCATGACACAACATGGTTGCCCATGTGGCATTCATCTTGCTATTCACTAGCTCTGATATGTTGTTCACCAAATCTAAACTTGCTATTTGGCTTGAGTTACCTCAGCTACTAGGCATGCCATGTGCTGTCAGTGATCACAGAGCCATACTAAAGAAAACACATGTTTTATCAGTATTTGCAAAAACATTATTTGCACATCCAATCAGCCATGGTAGCGTGCTGATTACTCTTTTACCCTTTGCATCCCTTAGAAAAACCTTGTTACATTCTTGTGATGATCAAAGAATGTTACAATGTTAGTAGTTGTGCTTTCCATGGGTATTTTTGAACCATTTGAAACATTGAAACCATTATAGGAGGTAGTGAAGTTGCATACATGGCGTTGAATTTTTTTTTTTCATATGAAGATGCTACAGATATGGTGCTAAGTGCATATTAATGCCACCAAATGGATGAACGATGAAGCCACATATATAATGATGGATTAATGTGGTGATGCTGGCAAACTTGTTAGATTAATATTTACTTGAAATTATCATAACCGTGATGATGATATGGCCTCTTCATTGATGTTATTAGATTGATCCTAGCGTTAGTTTACTATACTAACTAGGTCCTAATACTGTATCGTTATTGACAGTTATGTAGAAAATCCATACCCGGACAAAGTTGTGGGATGGGTTAATTTCTAGACCCAGTGTACTGAAGGTGTCTACTAGATACTGGAGATAGAGATGGATGGGTCTGGACACATTACCTCATTATTGCTAACCTGCAGAACACCCTTTCCCACTGAACCTAAGTAACTAGGACTTTGTGTAAGTTCCCTAATATGCAGGATAGGTATAGAATAAACCTTAGCTTATCGTTAGTGTACTGTTTACACAACTTGTTCTTGTCTTCTTCGGCCCTTCCTCCTTACTTTTTTTTGGTATTCATTTGCAGGGATTGCTATCTAGTCCTTGAATTATATTTCACGGCCATACACAAAAGTATTATACATATATGAAGAGAGCTGCATCCGTGGAGGGCTGGAGATGAGTTGGGCTATTCCTTCCCCAATCTCAACCACTTGGTATATGATCTATGATCAGAAGCAATTTATCATTCTTAGAAAACACATTAAGGCCGTGTTTGGCAGGGCTCCGCGTCCGTGGGCTCCTCCACCGGAGCCGGAGCCGGAGGCCGGAGCTGCAAATTGTGGCTCCACCTCCGTACACAAAAAGGGCTCTGGCTCCTCCAAATGCGCAGAAGCGATCCTCACCTCGCCATTTGGTGCGGTTCCTCCGGCTCGGTGCTGGAGCTGCTGGCGGAGCCGGAGCGCCACCAAACAGGCCCTAAAAAGTTGAAAAAGGTGAAAATATATGTACAATCCCTTAGAGATGAGAAATTGTATGTCTCTACATCGAAAAGTGAGACTTAAGTCTTGTACTTAAGCAAAAAGAAGCAGAAGGTGATTATTTGTTTTCCTTTAAGTAGCAAGATCCAAGTCCTGGTGCAATGGTACTTAATAGAAAAAAAAGAGCAATTAACTCCGCATTTATTTAAGAGATACCCTCTGTTTGATGTGGCATTTCTTATTGTTATTGATTTTAGTTCTGTTTTAAGGTAGAAAAGCTGAACTAATAAACTTAATAATTCTTCAAGAAAACTGATTTTATATGTGTTTGAAACATTTTAAAAAATCGGATTTTATTGGATCAATTATAGCTGCCTCATCGTTGTTTGGAGCTTCATCTTGTCACTAATTTACTCATTTTTGTATGGCCTACTGAGCATCTTGGCACTAATAAACTTTATAATTATTGTTTCATGCATTTGCTAGAACCACCTTTGGAAAACGTAGGGGCGTCACAGATAAAAATACTGGAATTCAAATATAGGGCACCTTTGTATTGCGCGGTGAACTACCACTCATCCTCAACATCTTTCAGGATGCTGTTTGCCCAAAAAAGAAAATCTTTCAGGATGCTTATGGTAGCATTCGAAATATACTGGCAACATCAGGGATTGGTCCTTCATTTTTCTGGCGAGGTTGAAATTGCAAAGGAGGGACATGAATTAAATCCATTTGGTAACATTCGCGCAAAGGTGTACACTACTAACTTAATCAATGTTTAGTAATTGTGAGCATTATTACAGTTCGATGCCACCTGCTGGTTCTTCGTTCTCACATCTTGTATAAATTTTATCAGGTTGCTTGTTTACAACAATCTCTGGAGTTTGAGCATCACCTGGACGATGTGAAAGATCAGTTCTGGATGGTTGACACTTGACAGCGAAGTGGGGTCCATGTCTTGCAACCTACAAGGTCGATGCAAAGGTAATCTGCAATTTTCTTAAGAGACCCAGAACCTACTATATCCGTAGGTGTGTCTTTTCTTGTTCGCGACCTTTTGCCCTTTAAATGACTGAAGAACACAAACTGCCTGGTCAGCTGTGCTACTATAACAGTAGCTGCAGCTTTTTGTGCTTGCTTCCTACAGTGATTGGTGAGTGTGGTTGCTGCAGCGACAGCTGCAGTGCTGCTGCAGCAATCACTGCCGATCACACCCAAAAGTTTTGTCAGTCAAGCGGCTTGCAACTCTTATTGTTTTATACAATCTATGTAAATAAATGAGCTTTGCTTGCCCTCATCATATATGACAGTTGACATGCCATTATTGCTAGATAACCTTACATGCTTGGTGACACCAATTCAATACTAAACGTCTGCCATGTTCTCTCACATAAGTGTGATTTATGTGCCCATTTCGGAGTGGAGGTTGTAGCCAATCCACCGGATGCAGGATATGGGCACAACTGTTGTCACATAGCGTTAGGTATAACCGTTAATGCATCCTGATGCTGATGGGTTGCTCCTGTGCATGCTTGCCTACATTCCTCTTGATTGTTCACCAATAATTTGCGACATGGGCGTTGTGATGCGAGTTGTTGATCGTTAGCGGGACCCCCTGCGACAAGTGTAAACCGTAATGGATTTGCTCCCTGTCTCTTTGTTTTATTCATTTTACCATTTGGTTGGCATTTGGTGACAGGGTGATGCTGGCTTCTCCTGTGCGTGGTATCTGGTTTGATGTTGGTTTCTACTGGCCAGATGGATGCAGCCAATTGGGTGTAGCTTTAGCAGCAGTACTGCATGGCTACCGGTGATGAGGACCTTATGAGGTTGATCTATCGTTGTAGGTCCGTTCATTCATAAGCATATCATTTCCCTGCAGAGAAGATAATCAGGCTGTCAGCTAACGCAGGGCAAGTTGCTATCATCATGCCAAAAGCTGAGGATGGAGGTTACGTAACAGGATCCTGCTGCGACAGCGTCTGGTGGATTAAATCTCCCCAATGCAAAGCTTGGATTCAGGTTAACCATTTCTGAAATTTGGGTGACCTCTCTGAACCACGAAGCATGGCTACCACTTGCTTGTGAAGACAATTATGCTTCACCTAGCTAATTAAGGTGTACCAGACACAAGGTGTGGCGGCTTTTGGCTTTGTGTAAATACAAATGACGTCGTTGGACGTGAAATATTTCCCTTGCAAAATAAAGGCTGTTTGCTTTGAGGTTCAGCAGTGGCTAATTAAGGAGCTTAACCTACAAGGCATCGGTGGACAAGGTAGGGTCAAGATTTTTTTCCCCTTTAGCCATGTCATTTCGTTTAATTTTAAAGAAGAGTAAAGTTCTGTTAGGTTACAAGCCTTTCAGCCTGTTCGCTTGTTGGTTTCAGTCAGGGCTTATCAGCCCGCCAACAGTATTTTTCTCTCACAACAAACCAGCACCAGTTGGGCTTATCAGCCCAAAAACCAACCAGCAAACAGGCCGTTTGAATCCTAGAGCA